GACGCAGACGCAGACGCACGCACGCACGCACACTGACACACACGCACGCACACCTGCGCAGCCGCACGCCCGCACAGGCGCACACGTGCGCGCACGCGCACACACACACACCCAGTTGCCACAGCTCAATTTCAGCGTGTAGGTTGTGTGACTGTAACTTGAGCGGAGAGTGGGCGTTGCCCAATTACTCCAGGAAGCCAAGTGAGCCACAATCAAAGCCCGGGTAGATGAAGGTTAGTAAGGGACGATCCCAACCATAAATAGCTGCGGCCGCCTTATTAATTCTTGTACATGGTTCTGGTAGACCATTTTAGTACCAGGTTTTGATTGCGACCGAAGTGCCCACTGCCGAAGCAGTTGTGTCACGTGCCGATTGTTTGTCCCCAGCTGAAAGCTGTGGGGTCTTTGCCCACATGGTCCGGGGCGGCTCCGAGACGGGGCGGTAGCATCTCCCTCTCTCCATCTATTTTGATCTCCATCTCCTTTTTCCTCTCTCTCTCTCTCTGTTTGCCTTGTCTTGCCTTGCCTTGCCTTGCCTTGCCTTGCCTTTCCTATGCCTGCCTTCCTGCCTTCCTGCCTCCCTGCCTCCCTGCCTCCCTGTCTGTCTTGTCTGTCTTGTTCGTCTTGTCTGTCTTGTCTGTCTTCTTGTCTGTCTTCTTGTCTGTCTTCCCGCCTTCCTGCCCGCTTGCCTGTCTGTCTGTTTTCCGTCTGCCTGTCTGTCTGTCCGTCTGTCTGCCTGCCTGCCTGTCTGGCTGTCTGTCTGGCTGTGTCTGTCTGTCTCTCGCTACGTATCTATCTAGCTAGGTAATTGTCTATCCATCCATCCATCCATCCATTCATCTATCAATCTATCTATCTATCTATTTATCTACCTATCCATCCATATGTATCTATCTATCTATCTACCTATCCATCCATCTATCAATCAATCAATCTATCTGTCTGTCTATCTATCTGACACTTCAGTCATGACCGTTAAACTGGCCATCGGAACAGGCAATGTCAAGTTAGACGGGATGTGTTTAGGCAGAGCTTCTGGCCACTCTTCGAGCTCGCAATCCGCGCCACTTGAGCTGACTGGCCAGGGTCGAGAAGTGTTGTCTCGTTCCCCGGAACCTCTCTCAGAGTGGGCTAGATGACGAACAGCAAATCAATTCTTCACGGGTTGGCGGAATCAATCCCAAATATCCCACTGACTGGCTCTTGAGAACCGCCACGAGGTTCCAGCGGACTCTACTTCAGGCTGCGGGCCAGAGAGGGGACTTTACTGGATTGGCGAGTCCAGCTGGCCAACAAAACCAGGTCGGAATCAGCTTCAAACATCTTCAGCCGGTTGTGGCCAGGCCTTGATGGTCGGCAAACGGAAACTTAGCACATAGAAGTTAATTCCCATCACAATCCAAAATTCGGTGAAAGCTGTAGTTGCTGAATGGAGATGCAAGTTCTGCCGACTATCAGCAACTCTTCCGCGGGTGTGGGACATGCACATCGTGGTCAATCTGTTAGGCAGAAGCCTCATGGTCACGAGTAATCCTGCTGGTTCAACCAATTGCTAGCAAACCTTGGCACTGCCATCTCGTTTACCAAACGAGTCCCATTTCGTTTTGACTCACTGCAAACTTGCCAGCTGCTTTTCTTCTATGCGGAGCGGCCAGATAGTGGGAGCCTAAATGCCACCTGAAGCTTTTGGCCTCGACTGGAGGTTGTCCGGCGTGAAATGGCGTGACTGAGGTGATGCGTTTCAGTTGCTACAGGGGCACTGCTGGCATTTTTAACACTGCTGGCATTTTTAACTTGGTTGTCAGGTTAACCCACGTGCTCCTCGTATGTCGTTTGTAGCACCACGTGCGAATAGGTTCTTTTCGGTGTAGGGGATGATGTTTACAGAAGACGTGCAGGCGCCCTGTGTTCGCACATGGATGCGAAGGTTGATCCACTTGCCAGGCACTCAGGGGCAGTGCTGGATTACAGCTCTATAGAGGCGCGCTGGCACGCTTTGCCAGGGCCGAAATGCCGATGGAATACAAAAGCTAGCAACGTGGCTCTGGAAAACCATATTTTTGGGGCCACCTCCTGTGATGCAGAGAATCCCCCTCTACCTACGGCCAGGAAATCATTGAGATGCCTATCCGCAGCAGCCACCCCCACTCAGCGCAGTTTCCATGGAGAAAGCATAAGATATCGGCCGACTCGCGTGGAAGCTTGTTGAATTTGCTGACCAAGATTGTGGAGTTTGTTGTGTCCTAGGCTGGACAGCTTGCTGTCAGTAGTTGGCCAATTATGCTCGGAGGTTCACATTGACCGTACCTTTTTGCTCCACATTGGTGCATTGCTTGCAACCGCCTGCCTGGCTGGTCAGGAAGAACCTGAGAAGCTGTGCCCAGACGCTCCCAGGCTCTTCATTTTTGTCCGCCAGGCGTTTATCGCACTGCTTGGTGTGAGAGCGTCGTACTGTCCAGAGCGGCTTAATGCGGAGCAAACATGATCAGCATGCAGGGCATTGATATTTGAGTTGTTGCTGGCTTTTGTTCGGTACTGGTTGGCATGGCTAACACATAAAAGCATTGCATTCATTCAAGGAACAAAGTCCCGTTCAGGCTGTCCCAACTGACAAGCTCTTGCAGTGCTACAAGGACCTCCAGGCAGTCAGATCTAGCTGGCCGCGGTTGGCCCTGCTTGCGATAAGCTTAAGCCTAGTTCCCAGCCTTTGGATACGTTTGCGGTTTCCTGTGATCACGGGGCTTGCGTCACCTTTGAGGACTTGTGCAAGTATCATGGACCCCAAGTTTAGGTGTGGCATTGCCGGAGCTTTTCCTTTTTGGCGAACGCCTTATTTCAACTGTTTTTTTTGGGGGAAGCAGAGCTCATTGGGACTTATCAGGGCCTAAGCTTGTTGAGCCCAATGTTCCAGCAACCTCCTCAGGTATCCACCCAAAGACCGATCCCTTGTTAAGCTCGAATTTACATCTTGTTAGCACCTAGGGTCTTGACAGGGTGGTGCTTTGGGAGTCTGCGGTTTACTGCAATTCCTGCGTGCCCCAGACAGCGTGCAAAGTAAAGAAACCCACGACAGGATGATTCATTGATTGACTTGGCTCGAGGCAATGGAGTGTATTGGTCTTTGCATGTCAGACATGCTACGCATTCACTCAGAGAGATGTGGCCCCCAACATGCCCAAGTGCAAATGAGCTTTTTTTCGTGGATTGCAGCATCAAAACGCTTATATTGATGCAAGATGTGCTTGCCCAGCGCCTGGTCTGCAAACAAGCCAAGGCGCTAACCATTCAAGTGGGGCAATGACAGAAGTAGGAGTAAATCTGCTGGCGCTCAGTGAAGTCTCACTAGCCCATTTGCCTGACAGAGAGGTTCCGTTTGCAATCTTGAGGAGACCTCCTTGAGAGAGCGTGTCGGTGGGCTTGAGCGAGACCCGGGGCTTGCACTCAGAAGGGAAAGTCAGCGCTCGGATCGCAGTGCTTTGTGATGAATTGCAGCAAATCAGGGCAAAACCACTGGAGCCGGCGTGGTGGAGTGCCCGGAGGACTTTTCGCTCCAAGGCCAATCCCCTTCGCAGCTCGGCCCCGCTCAGAAGATGCGTAGCCTTCCCAGAAGGCTCTATTCCCTTCTTCCTTAGCCCTTTTGGCCTTTGCAGAAGCAATTCCAAGGTCGCAGAACGGGTTTGGCGACTAAGAGGGTTCTTACCAAGGCCACCTTGCGGCGACTCGAGTAGCAATAGATGATATCATGAGGAGTGTGCTTGACTTGAGCAAAGCACAGAGCCGTTGGGAGCAACCAGCTTGGCTGTGCTCGGCAATTTGTGGAAAGCTTCAGCTTCACAGCGCTCCTGATAGCACGCACTGGCACGGGCAGCGCCACATGTTTTCAGCCCTCGCACTGTGGCTGGCACGTCGAGGCAGTTTGTTGAGAGGTTGCACTTTGCTTAAGCTTGAATCCGGGTTTCCAGCCAAGCACACATGGCCTCACAGCCCTGGCTGGAGGTTGGCACCTGCAGGCCATTTCTGGTTCGTTATTCCAAATAGGGAACCACCTCAAGAGTGGTTGGTGGACTTGAATCCCACCTAAATGATGTCCACGAAAGAGTGCCCTGTGAAAATTCACACCCACACGAACAGATCTCGTGTCTGATCTGTGGAGGCATAGATGCCAGGAGCACTTCCACCGCTTGGCCACAGCCACATTTCTATCTCTTGGCTCCTCCCTCATGCCCATCCGCCCACTCTTATAATATGGCTGGGATGGATGGGCTGTCTCCATACAGTATAATTGAACCCCAAGACGTGCCAACTTTGACAGCATAAGGGCTGGGAAGTAGAGCCGGTGCTGTAAGGCGCATGATCAGCCCGGCACACCTAAAAGTCAATCCGCGCAAGGCAATGCGTCAGACTCGAAATGAACGTAGTTCAGGGCACAGCCAAGCCGGTTGGGTCCAACGGCTCTGCGCTTTGCTCAAGTCAAGGCAACATCACATCCTAACCCCAATTCCATCATTCCCTGCCAAGGAGAATTGGGGATGTGAGAGACGGCGATGAAGGAGAGAAGCGAACGAAGGGACGGCATTTGTCTTTCACATACAGCATACAATGGAGAGTGAAAGATATGACCCTTCTCTTCTCTCTTCATCATGCGTGCTCTCCTATTGACAAGTTACCGCGAGCGAAGGCAGCAGTTGGGTGAGCCTATCATTTCATCCATCTCTTTCCATTCCGCCCCTCCCCGCCATTTGCTGGGAAGGGTTCAGGTAGCTCGCCAGAGGTTGTATGTTGGGTACGGGCGGCGCTTGGATGTCGGTACTTTGTGACAACTTTGCCATCAGCATCGAGGAAGCATGACGCTTTTGTGATGTCATTGAACATTCCTCCGGCAAGCCTGAATGTAACCCCCTGCAAGCAGCCCTAAGGAGCAAGCAGCTGGGCGAACAGGCTGGGGGTCTGAGGTGCACGAGCACTGAGATGTGTCTCAACCTTGACAGTTGCTTTTCTGGCCCCGACAAAGCTTAGCTTCAGACTCGTTCTGGAACTTCACAAAGCATGAACCCCGTTGACCCGCGCAGTTTGGCTGTGCCCAGAACTTCGTAGCAAGCTTCAGCTTCAGACAACTGCTGCGGTTGGCGAATGCAGTAAAGCTGACCTGCGCATGTGCTCACACCTTTTGAGTTAAATGCCTTGCCAGGTAGTTCGTAGCAGGTTTGAATCACAATACAGTTCATCCGAATGCTTGCCTGAATTGACGGGGCGCAGGCGTTGCTCGGCTTGCAGTGAGTTGCAATGTGTTTGCCATGAGCAGGTTGTGTTAACATCAACCGACCTGGCTGTGCCCAGGGCTTTGTGAATTTCCAGCTGCGCGAGTTTGAAGCAAATCTTGGATGTTGCCAAGCAGCTATCAAGTCTGAGGCTGATCTCAGCAGTGGAAGCTTAGTGTGCATCGAGTTCTTCCACCGCTTTTTGCCATGATAGCTACTTGGAATGAGGCGTGTGTTGGCTCAGATATCATTAGGAGCGGCGTGCTGCCTTGATCAAAGCACGAAGCCGATGGGAGCAATCGGCTTGGCAGTGTCCAGAAGTTTGTGGCAAGCTGCAGCTTCGCCTTTCAGCACTGGCAATGCCACATTTTCCAAGCCCTTGCGATATAGACACCCGGACGATACAAAACCCGCTGCAAAAGCGAAGTGGAGAGACATAGTGCGTTCAAGTCACGACGATCATGAGGCATGCTTCAATTAAGCAAGGTGCCCAACTAGCATCGGCGAGTGCGCGGCGCGCTAGGTTGAATGCCGAGCGGCATTTGGGCAAGCGCTGAGCTTCTTTGAGCCCAGCTCAGGCGCAAGTGCTCCAGCTTGTGCCCTAGCTGGCCCCTTGCCATACCAACTGGCTGCGCAAGAGTGGACGCAGTGCCCAAGTCTGCCATGAGCACCTGGACCTGGTTATCAGTGGCTGGGGTATGTAAAGACGCCCAACCAGCTCCGAGTCTGAAGTCTGAGGCCAAGTCCATGGCCAACTGTGCCCGGTGCCAATTTCAATCTTGGACACTGCTTGCATCGTGTAAGAAGATTTCAAGTTTGTGATCCAGCACTTTTCAAGCCGGCGCCTACGCGTTGCAGAGTGGTTCAATGCTCTTCTCTGAAAGGCTCACGCTCCCAGTGCCCAACTCGCACGATGATCTAGATGGCCGTGTCTTCACCATGCCACTTAAGGCGTAGGCTTGCGAACAGTGTTGGCCGGGCTTGCCTGTTCTTGTCCAAAGCGACGTTCCCTCCAATGAGCGAATTGAGAGGTGACTTGCGTTGCTACCTCGCTGACCTAAAACTTATAGGTTGTCCACAGGTCATATCACAGATCATATATTATATATATACATGTATATATATATATATGCAAGCGTTTCGGAGCCTCTGTTTGCTTCTCCGGCGCCTGAACAATGAAGCCTCAGTGAAGTGGGCCCACTTGTTTGATACTCTAGACTCCCCCGACTGGTGACTGCTGTCTGTAGCGGCTGTGTTTCCGTTTGGCTCCGGTCAGGCCGTGCCGGCCGGTGTGCGTTGGGCCGCGGACGCAGTGACGCTTCCAGAAGGTTGTAGGCCCCCTGCCGCCTCTACAGTACCTGTGGCTTGCTTTCATTCCCCCTTGCTGATAAAAGATCAAACATCAGTCCAACCCTACTGTTCACCACATGTTTGGAAACGAAGTTGTGAGGCCAACCAACGAGGTAGCCGAAACAAAGGTGGATGCGCTTTTACAAGGCCCTGATCAGTTGTGCAGTCACGATTCGCCCAGGGACAGTTGGATTCCAAGTTATCAAGGTTTGGGTTCGAGGTTCATGGAGTTTACTGTCAAGGTGCTCACGGGTTGGGGTTTGGATTGAAGATCCCTAAAGTCCAGGCTGGTGTGTAGCGTGGGATTAGATTGAGGATTCCTCTTAGCTTTGTGGTTCATGTTGGGATTGAAAGTTGAAAGGGGTTTCGGTCTAGCTTCCTAAAAAGCAAGTGGCTGCCAGTGCATAGTGGTTGAACATATGTTTGGCTTGCCGGCAAGCGCGGCGGCCAAGCCTTCAGGTCCTTACAAACAGCAGCCACGTGAGTGCCATGTCGGGCGAGGCCGAGCCGGTTGGCTCAAGGGCTTCAGCTGGTTTCGAAGTTCCTTTTTCAACTGGCCCCCAAGAAGTCTCCAACTCATTTTCAGAGAAACACAGCATAAAACTTGGGCTGGCCCCTTCCAGATGGCTGGTTTCCTTTCGTTGTTGTTCGTCTGTGGAGTATGTGCGCATCACCGCCCACCTTCTCCTTCGTCAAAGACTGATAGGACGGCTGCTTGATCATTTTGGATGGACATGTCTATGTTCATGTTTCGAACGAGGGCGATTACGAGCTCCTTTCGGTGGCTGTGTGTCAAACCTATGCACTGAGATCTCAAGTGATTAGCTTCATATTGGTTCCCTTCGTGGAGAAGAAAACAACATCGTTATTTCTGACAATCCAACCTTGCTGC